TAAAATGGATCAAGCAGATATGTTTTAAAGCGAAGTGAAGGCATTAATTCATCCGTAATGTTTACCCGCGTCTTGTCGAAGTTAGGCTGTCCAGGCTTTTTCAAAAAAAGTATTGTAAAACGTATAAAAAAATTGGTTATCAGTTGTGTAACGACAGCTGATTAGGCCAGACCAATTTGATTTGGTAGTTTACTTTACCCTCATTTCACTAGTAAAAATTTTTGGGATATATGGAGTCTTTGCCTTGAAAATCACTTCCAATATTTCCGATCGGGTTAATTCGGACAAAAATAAACCGAGTACCGGTTCATGTTCATATGTTCGGGTTAATTCGGACAAAAATAAACCCGAGTCTTTTAACTTTATTGATTCAATAGTTTATCGAATAACTATCAAATCAATAAAGTAAAAGATAATTAACATATGAACATGAACCGGTACTCGGGTTTATTTTTGTCCGGATCCGAAAATTCCGAAGAGAAAATGAACGAACCTAAAAGACGATCCCCTATTTTGAAAAAGTGATGTAATGTAAACCATTTGGTCTCGCCTTATTTCCATATTTGGGACGGTCCCTGAAGATCGCCCTTGCTATAATTCTCATAAAATTTCTGAAAAAGAATCATAATTTTTTTCATTTTATTTTTAATAGCTAAAAAAAAATGTTATCACTTTATCTTTTGTTAGCGTGTCTTATGTTGTATTATGTCTTTAAATCAAATACACCACGCGGTTTAAAAAAACTTCCTTCTCCACCGGGTAGCCAATTTTATTTTGGTCTGTATAAAATAGTAATAGCATTCTCTATTGTTTGGAAATGTTTGTAATTGGTAAAAGAATTAGTAAAAAAGAAAAAAGTTTGGGCAGATTGCGTGAACTTAAATGGTTTTAGATTAAAAAAAAGTTTTCAAAAAAAATTTTTTTTTTTGTAGGTCATATTTTCCAAATTGGACGCGAACCACATAAAAAGTAAGAGATGCAACATATACAGTTAAACCTCCCTAAATGCAATTCGTAGGGACCAGCCTTTTGATAGCTTGCATTTAGAGAACAATAAGAAAAATTGCATTTAGAGAGGTGCTGCACATAATTTAAGAAGATCTGACTTATTAATAAGAATTAATCGAATGACTTGATTGTTAATCTAAATAGATTTACAGAATGGGCGAGAAGTTTAGGTGATATTTATGGTGTACAAATGGGTCAACAGTATTGGATTATATTAACTAGTGATAAAGTTGTTGGTGAACTTTTACAAAAGCGTAAGTTCTCATATTAATTCATTACATGCTAACGGTTTAGTTGGTAATTGAATAAAATTTAATAATAGGTGGTGGAAAATATTCAACTCGTATACGAAGTTAT